ATCTACTTTCAGGTGTATTTATGTAGTATTATTTTAAATGTTAAAAAATTTAATTATAGTACGGAACCGAACCGAACCGAACCCGAACGGTTCCAAAATTATATTTGGAACCGACGGTTCCATTTACTAAATACCCAAAAATTTCTGGAACTGAAAAAAACTGAACCGGACCGACCTGCGCCCACCCCTACTTTAAACAATACATCCAAAACCATTAATCAATCCATTTTTGTTTGGTGAATGGTTGACAGTTTTTTTACATTGTGTGTTGTGACGCACAATTTTGCCATTGATTTTAAAAACCCTTAAAACAATCAACGATTTCGATTTTTATACCTCATACAATGTCAACCATAGTGTGCACAAATAATGTACAAGTAAAATAATACTAATCATTATCAATCACATATTTTGTGGTCGCGTTAAAAAATATTTATTTGTCTATCATATTTTTAGATAAACAAAATAAATAATATAAAAAAAGTTGAACAAATAACATAGAGATTATTGGAATTATTCATTGAAATTATGATTCAACTTAAGTTTTTCAATAAGCAGAAGTCTTGTATTCGAACTTTGAGAGAAACAATAAAAATTCGTTAAGGGTAAGATGGGTCAAGACTTGACGTCACAATTTGTTCGCCCCCTACTTCAGAAATTGTAATTTACGTGCTTTCATTAATCAATGATCAAGTTATTTTCAATGTATTCTAACCTTTTGTTGTAAAGTTTCTATAAATTATCTTTCTTCCCGAATTGATCTAGAATATGCGTAGGAGGTAGTCTAGCAAAGTAGAATATTGTCGCACGCAAGGAAAGATGTCCAGTGATGCCAGGACTTGAATCTAAACTTAATTTAATTACGATTTTTTTTAAAACACAAAATATAATAATAGGAACATAAAAATCATATATACATTTTTTCTCTCACAAATTTCACTTAATTGCAGGGATCCCACTGACCTCGACCTACATCCGCCACAACTATTAACAAAGCAAGTTGTCCACATGGCACATCTCCAAGTGGTAAAAGAGGAAGGTGGAAAAACTCCAACTTTACTTGAGACTGTCGAGCCAAGGGTTTGAATCCTGAAATATGGATTTGGCCCTTGAGTAAGTGCAAGTGTACAATCAGCCTTCCACCATATACCCTTTAAGGCATAACCTGCGATTTACCTCATTCACCAAGGCTCAGAGCATGGCAGGTGGGGGCTGTTAAGGATGCGGTTCATCTTTTTTTTTTTTAATTAACAAAGCAAGTATTTAGAAAAATATATAGCCAAGCAAAGACCTAAGTAGTAAACATTCGTAAAATGATTTTTTTGACTTTTAGAAATATGAATTTAGGGCCCATTTGACATTGTTTTTACCTTTATTTTTGCTTTTTGTAAAAGAGTTTTGAGAAGAAGATACCTTAATTTTTGTTTGAAAACTAATTTTAAAGAGTTTCCTATTCTGAAAATACTTTTAGAAGAAGTTACATTTGACAAACTTTCTTTCAAAGATCTTTTAATTAGAACAAACACTTTCCTAATATTAGCTAAACGAATCCAAAATTAACTTTAGGGTCTCAAAAAGTTATTTTTAACTCTTCAAAAGTCATTAAACGGACCCTTACTAGGACAAAATTCTAAACCTGAATAATAATCACTACACATACACAAATAGACAAGATTTTCCTAGATTGGAGAGAAGTGTGGTTATATTCAAACACTAATTTTCATTTGACACACCACATTTTAATTGTAATTGAACTCTTCAATTTTTAATCATCGTAACAATTATTTTCTTGATTTTTTTGTCGAATTCTTATCTTCAACCTTCAATTAATTAGCACGTCTTGTCCTTAATGGTGATTTATATGAAAATATCTTGTTTTCATACTTTGAAATGAAGGAAAAATATTTTTTTCACAATTTTTATTTATTTTTTTAAAATATGACAAAAAAGGTAAGTTGTTTTATGTCATTTCAACAATTGTTTTGATATAAAACTGTTATCAAATAAAAGATGTGTTAATGAATGAAAAGTATGATGATAAGAATGATATGGGAAATGGTTTGTGACAAGCAAATATTAAGAACCTTAAAAATAATTAAAACATGGTATAAGAAATAAAAATTGTGGTGTGAATATAATTACCCTGAGAAATTGTGGTGATTTAGAAATATGGGTGTTAAGCCTCTTTATTTGATAGAAACATTGTACACAAATTTAGAGTTCATATCTAATCAAATGCTCATTTTCATTAACAGTTTATACTAGCAATATATTCATCTATTGAAACTGACCTAACATTTAAAAGTAATTTTTTTGGCAAAAGTTAAAAAAAAAATTCTGAATAACGTGCAAGACGCGTTCACGTCAACTAATTTTATTGGCTTATTAGCACAAAACGTCCCTACGTTTGATAGTTAGTGTGCAAAACGTCCCAACGTTTCATTTTTTTGCATTTTTGCCCCTATTTCAACGTTACAGTGTGGAAAACATCCTTTTCGCTATTTTTTAGTGTAAAATGACCATTATACCCTCAAATTTAAATAAAACAAATAAAATGAAAAGAAATATAAAAAATAAATTGTAAT